ATCTGGGTAAATTTTTCAAGGCAGGTGCTGAAGGCTTTAGCTACTGACTGTGTTTGCAGTTTTCGGTTTACAGCATTTGTTGGTGGCCTATGAACAGAATGTTTGCCCTTTCCAGACGGGCCTGAACAAACGAGACTAGTTTGTTCAGCAGGCATGGTCCTATGGTAATAGCTAAAAGCAGTATTGCCAGTGGACCTACCAGGGCGGAAATTAAAGTGGTGAGCCAAGGTGATTGATTGAACCAGGATTCAAACCAGCTCTGTTGGGTTTCCCTGTCTCTCTTTCTCTGAGCCAGTCTATCTCGGAGTTCTGCCATGGAGTCTTTAACAACTCCCGTATGATCTGCATAAAAGCAGCATTCCTCCTTGAAGGCTGCACACAGTCCTCCTTGGTGCATGAACAAAAGGTCCAGTCCTCGCCTATTTTGTAAAACTACTTCTGAAAGCGAAGAGACTGATTTCTCTAGATAGGAGATGGATTTCTCGATCCTCTGCAGGTCTTCGTCGATGGTCATTTGCAGCTGAGAGAGTCCGTGCTGCTGGGTTGCGATGGCTGAGACACCCGTGGCTGTGCCAGCTGCTCCCAGGCCAAGCAGCATTGCGATGGTCAATTTCTCTTTTGTGGAGTCTGTCAGGTTCCTTGAGAAGGTGGTATATTTCTTCGTCTGAGTGATATAGGACCCTAGAACAGTCAGAACTTGGGCACAGAAATCGATAGAGTTATTAAATTTGGCAAGGAACATAAAAGGATTCGCTCTGGATCACTGGCAGACTCACAGCCCAGATGCAGGTGGGGTCATTCACTTGTTGGTTTTTCTGTCAGGCTTGACAACTTTAGTGCAGAAGTTGCCTTTCTGCTTTGCTAAGGTTGCATTGCTAAAACATCTGCCCTGTCCTGTGATTTGACTCAGGGTGATTCCTCTGCGGGGAGTGTCCCACCTGCACTGGTGGGGGGCACTGGCTGTGGAGTAACTGAAGGGGGTGTCTAAAGCAATGCCTTCGTAGAAAAGGGGGTTTAACATCATAGCAAAACTAATAGGGGTTAGTCAGGTTTGATTTGGTTTCATTTAGGGTTAGTAAGGTAGCTTCTAAACAGGTTGGCTATGTGGAACACGAAGGATGGGGTGTTCGCTGTGGTGACCTCTTTGAACACCCTGTCACTTGAAAGATGTTACATGACTCACTTAAATGGCTGATGAGGGTAGTGGCCTGGGTCGGCTTGCCCCCCGGCCACAAGCCCCAACAGCAGGATTGCACAGAGACACTGTGCATGTCTGGGTCTCACCGCCGTGGGATTCTCAGGTGTCATCTGGCGGTTTGGTGGTCTGTCATCTCTTTCTGGAGCAGGGGTGTATGCGTCACGGGGACGGTCCACGAGCATGTCCTGTAAACAAGACTTATAGCTTCTCATTAGTTTTGTTTTGAGGGTCAGGTTTGATTGGCAGCAGTGGGTGTGCAGCAGTGGCTCTCATTATAAATTTGTAATCTTGACTCCTGACATAGCAAGGATGTCCCTTCCTATCAGGGGTGGAGAGTTTTGTAAAATGTAGGGGTGGATTGCTACTGTCCGTTCTGGCCCTTTCTTTGTATGCAGCGTTATAGCTACTAGTTGGGTGCTTTTCCAAGCTCGGGACAGCCCTCCCACCCCGTTCACTGGGGGGACCTCCCTGCACCGCCGGTGTCGGGGCCACAGTGCCTGCGGAAACATCGGGCAGTCTGCTCTTGTGTCTGCCCAAAGCTGGAGTCCCACCACGTGGGGGTCCCGACTGCCACAGAGGCGGCACGTCCCCCACACTCTCGGGGGCTCCCTCCCCACTTTCATGGCCAGGGCCACCCAGGGGTCCCATTTTGGGGCGTCCCCTGCTGACCCTGCGGCACAGGCGCTGTTATTTGCAGTGGGAGGAGGCTACGTTCGGCCCGCGCGCTCCCCCCTCCCGTCCCTTGTCTCCTGGGGCTGGGACCCGCATTCCTTAGCGAGACGCCCTTTTCTCCCGCAGCTCCAAGGGGTGTTTTTCCCCAGCTGGTAAAACTGGGTTGGTTCGTATTGTGACCGCTTTTCGGTGCGGCTTAGAACTTTACTTGGTTTTGTTTTAAACTGCGCTGGTTCCGTTTCTTCCATTTTGGAGTCCTGGGCGGCTCCCGCCGGCTTGGAGGAGCCGGCAGAGTTGTTGCCAGGCTCCGCGCCGGAAGTCAAATGCCAGTGCACTTCCGGGGCTCGGTGCCTTTTTGTTCGGCTCCGAGCTCGCTCCTCCCCGCGGGGGTGGCGCCGCTCCCGCCCCCCCGGCTCGCCTCGCCCCCCCGCGGGGGGTGGTTTCTCCCTTACATGGTGGCGGCGCCTGGCGCGGCCTCTGGTTGGCTCCGTGCCCTCTGCCGCTCTCCACCTCTTTCTCCCGCGCGCGCGCGCCCCTGAAATCGCGCGGCTCTCGAGTTTTCGCGCCGAGACTACTCGCGCCCCGCCCCTCTCCACGGCACCCAGCGCCATTTTCAAAGCGGCAGCATGGCCACACGGTTAGCGTTTTCACCCGAGCTGCGGTTTCTGCAACTCTGGCTTCTCCTGCCAGCTCCTGCCAGAAGCGCTCCGCGCGCCGCTGCGCCTCTGACATCGGGCCGCGGACCGGCGGCGGTGGCGGGACGGAGGAAGCTGCGGTCTCTCGGGGGGGTTTTGCGGTGGGGGTTTTTTGGGGGTTTTTTGCGGCAGGGGTTCTTCGAGGGGATTCCACGGCGGGGGTTGGGCTCTGATCTGGGGAAGGGGGTGACGCCCCGGGCCCCCCCGGGTCTCCATTCCCGGGCGGATCGTCTTCAGGGACAGTCTGCGCTTTCGCCCTCCCCCCGAGCCCGGGTCTAACTAATAAACACGTACGCGCTGCACTCCGCGTCTCTTGCTTTTCTATTGCCTTGCGCGGGGTTTTTTTCTACCTTGCCCCGTGCCGTAACGCTCTCGCCACTGCCTGAGGATTTTGATTCCCCGGCCAGCGTGGCTGTACACTGTTCCCATATCCCCGGATGCATGGCATCCACTGGGCATTCGGCTGCCCCAAGCTCAAGCAGCCTTGCTATAGCAAGATAAAAGTCCTTGAGCTTAAATTCAATACTCCATTGCTTATAATTCACACTCACGACCCATGCGACGCTGTCCATAAAGCTCGCGGGTCCTGGGACGTCTCCCTGCGCCAAGACACGGTCTGACCGTTCCGGCCGCTGCTCCCGTCCAGGCGTATCCCGACAGCCGGGTGATTTTTCCCTTTTTTCTCCCGGGTTTCGGCACCAGTATGTTGCCTTTATAAAGGGCAACGAGGACCTGGTTCAGGTGAGGCAGCACGGCGGTCTGGCCTCTCCAGACCGCTCGGGCTATCGATAAAGACGCTGGCACCAATTTGGTGGACGATCGAAAGCCTTTATTATCTCATCCCTTGGGTTTAAATAGTCTTGGGGGTCTTTGCTACGTCAGAGGGGGGTTGGGGGGTCTCAGGGGTTAGTCGGGAGTGGAAAGTTACCGGGACAGGTGTGGCTACATGCTTCTGGGGCTTCTGGGGTTAATAGATAACGTGGGGCAGGGAGAGGGGGAGGGGTCTATCTTTCCGTCACATCCCATGGTCTTCCGCTTCACCTGTCCCTATCTACCACACTAAAGCTCCCTCAGCACCCCCTCCATGGCCTTGTGCTCCACAGCCTTCCCCAGCTCCCGTGTCCTTCTCTGCACACGCTCCAGCCCCTCGAGGACTTTCTGCTTCAGAGGGGCCCACAAGTGGACACAGCACTCCCAGACATGGCCGCAGCGCTGCCCAGCCCAGGGGGACGGTCACTGCCCTGCTCCTGCTGCCCCACTGCTGCTGACACAGGCCAGGGCATCCTTGGCCTTCTTGGCCACCTGGCCACACACTGGCCCACCTTCAGCTGCTCTTGACCGGCGCCCCTGCGTCCTTTTGGCCCACGCAGCTCCCCCACCACAAAATTGCCCGCTTGACTTCAAATAGAGCATCCCCAGTTCCAAGATGTCCTTCCTCTTCTCAGCAACACAAGACAGCAGTCAAGGACTTGCAGCTTCCCCCCCACCCTAGGCACTAATGCCATTCCCAAAGCTGCAGGCTGTGTGCAGCTGTCCCTGCAGGATGGCCCCAGGGCAGAGCCCAGCCGGGCTCCCCCTGCAGCCCCTGAAGCTTGGGGCAGGCAGTGGTCCCAGAGCTGAGGTTCACGGGGAGCACCCGCAGCTGTGCCTCGCACTCTGGTGCCGTGTCACCGTGCAGGCTGGCTTGTACGGGGTGAATGTACCAGCCCTGGTTTGACTGACAGGGGCCTGGCCCATCACAGCTCTCCCAAGGCTGCAGGCATTCCCCAGGCCAGAATCTGAAGGGGCACAGAGATCAGACCAGTGAAATCATCCAGACTGGGTTTTTCAAAGGCCCTTTAGAAGGAAGGGCTTGAGAATAAACGTGCTCTGTTTGCCACAGGAACATCGGGGTGAGTTGTCTCCTTGGCTCCAACCCACTTTCCTCCCCGTGCCAACGTTACCCACTCCCTCACACGTCCCCCCCGTGCCTTCCCACTGCCTTGTCCTGTCAGGGCTTCCGCAGCCCCTCATCCCTTCGTGGCCCCGTCCCCTCAGGCTCTCCCCAGCCCGGCCAACCTGCCCGGCAGCAGCGCCGCAGCCCCACAGGAGCTCCAGAGGAGCCCATCCAGAGGCACCTGGGAGCCCTCAGCAATCCAGCCAGCAACACACGGGCAGGAGGACACGGATGGCGCTTCCTGCCTGGGACAGGGCTTGTGGCCATCTCCAGGCACCGCTCTCACAGAGATCCCCACAGCTCCAGCCCCTGCCCATCTGCTCTGTGGGCAGCACAAAGGCTTTGGCAGAACCACCAAAGGCCAAGGGGCTTCTGGCCATTTTCCCTGCAACCCTGCATGCCTGGGCAGCTTGCTGAGCCCAGGATCCCTTTTGTCCCTCTTCCCCTCTAGACCCTGCAGAACCTGGGCAGCAAAAGAAAGATCCTGGGAGTCTGTCTATTAAAACACATCCTATATTTATATGCTAAAGTAAAACAAAAAGACAGAAAGAACAATCTTAAAGAAACGAAACATTCCTGCTGGCTCGGGCGGCCCCAGCAGACAGAGCCTCTGGGATCAGCTCTCTGCAGAGCTCCAGCAGTGCAGCCAGCCGAGCCCCGACAGACGAGGCCGTCTCCTCCATGCCCTGCGGAGCCGATCATGCAGGTTGTCAAAGATGGAGTATGGAGCTCTCTCTGCTTCCTGGAGGACGTACAATGTTTGAACAGCCAGGCTTGCGACGGGGACACTGATGTCATTGGCCATGCCTTCAAGGGCTGAAAGAGAGAGGAACAGAGCCATGGTCAGTTCCCAAATCTGAGGGGACACGAGGGGACTCTGTGCCAGGGCCATCCCAGCCGGCTCTGGCCATGGACAGAAGGGAGCAGGGACCAGCTGGATCAGCCCAAAGCTGCTGGCCAGGAATCCCCCAGGTGCCCTGAAACCTCTGTGTGCTCTGCCCACGCCGGCCCTGGTCCGCACAGGGAGCAGAGCCCTCCGCAGCCGGGGCAGGGCTCGCAGCTCCCCGCCAGCCCCCGCTGGCAGCCCGCTGCCCTCACTGACCCTCAGAGATGAGCTGGAGCTCTTCCTTCCTCCCCCTCAGGTACCGCCCGGCCGTCCCTGGGAACACAGAGCCTGTCAGGCCCGGCGGCACAGCTCCCTGCCAGCGGCGCTGCCAGCCCTGTGCCCACACGGCCACCTGGCCCGGCTCGTGGCTCACCCATGAACCTGACGGCCGCCTCTCGCAGGGGCTCCTGTGGGCTCTGCAGGTAGGGCAGGGCCCGGCGCAGGTGCTCGGCCACGCTGCTGCTGTCCTCTGCCAGCTGCAGAGAGTGGCAGGAGGGAAGGGTTGGCCCCGCAGCCCCGCCCGGCCGGGGCTCCATGGGCACCCGGCTCGGGCCGCAGGAGCCTGGAGCAGAGCCCGCGCGGCCTCGGGCTGCAGCAGCGGGCAGGGGCACAGCTGCCAGCCCGCACACCGAGCACCGCGCTCAGGGGGCTTCTCCAGGCTGGGGCTGCGGCTTCCCGGCCCTCCTTACCAGGCACTCGGTGAACTTCCACGGCTTCTGGTTCTTCAGCAGCTTTTCGAGATCCCTCTGCTTCAGGAACTCGGCCGCACAAAGCAGCGTTTCCTGAGAAGCCTGGAGAGCAGCAGAGACGCGGAGATGGCCCCACAGCCCAGGGCACAGGACCCGTCCCTGTGCCAAGGCCAGCAGGAGGCTGCAGCCTGCAAGGTGCCAGGGCAGGGGCAGCCCAGCCCCTGCCCGGGGAACAGCAGCAGCTGCCGAGTCCTCACCTCTGCCACTCGCTGGTTCTCATCCTGGCAGTGGAAGGAGAGTGGCAGCAGGCTCTGGCGCACCTGTGCCTTCAGGGCCTTTTTTTCCTCTTCCGGAAAACGATCCAGCATGTCTCGGAAGATAAACATGGAGCTCAACTGCACCTGGCTATCCTCCTGTATGAAAGGAAGGAAGAAAGACCTCAGCGTCAGCTGCTTCAGGCCCAGCTGGGCACAGCCTGTAAGTGCACAGGGCACAAAGTGTGCGGGTAGCACCCGCTGGCCGTGGCTGGAGGCGCAGAGCCTTACGTTGTCAAAGAGTGGCAGGAGCGCCTCAGCCAGCTGCAGGGCGAGGGTGCTGGTCATTGGGGCCTCTTTGCAGAGAAATACAGCTCTGAGGAGAACCGTGGTCATCCTGAGCATGACGCCGTCATTTTCCTGCAGGAGCTCCACGAGCCTTTCATGCAGGCTCCACATCCTTCTGGCCATCTACTTGTGGAACACAAGTGTGTGAAACACCATCCTGCTGCCACAGGGCCCAGGGGCCAAAGGCCTGTGCCAAAGCACTCGGGCAGCTGCAGCAGGAGGCAGGAGAGCTGGCAGCAGCTGCCTCAGTGCCCCAAGGCCAGCCGAGCCCCAGGGACTGCCTTCCCCAGCCCCACGCTGGCAGCACGGCTTCAGCCCCTGCGCTCTTCTCACCAAGGCACTGGTGGTGCCGAGCACCACGAGGCCTCTGAGTGCCAAGCGACGCCTCCCCCTGCACTCGCTCTGCAGGTTCTTTGACAAGAACTCCAGGACGCTGTCACGGCATTCACTCAGGTTCAGGCGCTCCAGGACCTGAAAGGCACAGGGCAGTGACGGGGGAGCGGCCGGCGGGAGCCCAGAACCGCACAGGGCCGGGCCCAGGCAGCAGCACAGGGCGCGGGCTCCGTCCCAGGCACTGCGGCCAAGAGAGGGCAGAGAGCCGGGAGGCAGCTCAGCGAGGCAGCGCTGGCCTTCAGGCTCACCTCCACAAGGAACGCCAGGGCGGCCAAATCCCGGCATGGCGTGTCTTTGCTGAGCAGCCCGAGCAGCTGGAATGCAATCGTGGAACACACGGCTTCGGATGCGCGGCGCATTTCTCTGACAGGAGGAAATAGGAGCCAAACCCTGAGCCAGCGGGGGCAAACCTCTCCCAGGACTGCCTCCCTGAGGTCTGGCCTTTCTCCAGCACCCTGCAAGGGGCAGCTGAGCCCTCTGGGAGGTTGCTGCTCTTGGGCACGCTCCTCTCCCAGCCTTTTGCAGCCTCCTTGGCCGTCCCTTGGTGACAAGGGCTTCTGGCCCACGGCCACGGGGACTGTGTGGGGCACCTGGGGCGCAGGGCACACATGCCGGGGACAGCTGGGGAGCAGGGGGTCTCACCTGGCCAGCACGCCCACAGCACAGTGGTGGGTGTCAGCACAGAGCAGTGTGTCCCAGCCACCCTTGTCTTCCATGGCCACCACCACATCCTCATAGTGCAGTCGGCAGAGCAGGGCCTTCAGGGTCTGCTCTGCAAAGCTGTGCGCAGAGCAAAGCCCGGGTCACACTGGGGGCACTGGCTCCTGCCCAGGGATGTGGCAAGGACAGGAGGACTGGCATGGAGCACCTGCTGGGGTTGGTGGCAAGGCCGTGTTGCTGCTGGCATCCCTCCCAGAAGGTATCGACCTCCTCTGGCATATCCAGAGTGCTGAAGAGCACTTGGAAGAGCAGATGCACAAAGAGGCAGGGGAAACACACGGTGACTACATGTGGCACACAGGGCAGCTGGAGGATCTTCCACATCACCACGGTTGCCTGCAAAGGACAGAGCAGCCCGAGACAGCGCTCAGTGCCGAGGTGTCCGTGTGGCAGGGCCCAGTACAGGAGGGAGAGGCCCGGAGAGACGCAGGGGGAGCACCGAAGGGGGAGCACCGGGCCTGGTGGCCCTGAAGCTGCCCCGAGGCCAGGTTTCAGCCCAGCGCCTGAGGCAGGGAGACGCCGTGGGGGAGGGAGGATGGAGAGCTGCTGGAGAGGTGGCCTTGGGGCCAGCAAAGGCAGAAACTCACAGCCAGGGCAAGGACAGCCGTGTGGTCCCCATCGGAGGTGCACGTGCTGTGCTCTGGCCAGCTCCCCAGCACCTCGAGGAGTACGAGCATGGCCGGCTCTGCAGTCCTGGGCGAGCACATGATGCTCTTCCACATGGCCAAAGCAGCTCTGTGGGGTCAGAGCTCTGTCTCAGAGGAGTCTGGGACACAGCAGCGTGGCCTGGGTGGCAGCGGGGAGCTGAGCTGCTCTGCCAGCCCTGCCTCTGCCCACTGCCCCTCACTGGCAGCACGCAGGCAGCCCAGCCCTGTGGGGACTGGCCCCTGAGGGGCAGGGGGGAAGCATGGCAGCACGCTGGGGGCTGGCAGGGGCCAGGGCTGGCAAAGGGAGCAGCCAGAGGGCCCTGGAATTCTCTGTTGGTCAGACACCTGGGACAGGCTGTACAGGGTGAAGGGCTGCTGAGCCTTGTGGACACGTGGGCCCCGTACCTGTCACACACTGGGGCCACACGCAGGAGAGCCATCACCACGTCAGAGGGCTGTGCCTCTGTCAGATCCAGAAGGGGCCTGTACAGATTGTACTCAGGAAACTCATTGGCCACCAGCCACTGGTGGATGTACCTCACCATGGCCGGCACCTGGAGAAGGCAGGGGAGACTTGGAAAGCTGCCAGAGGAAGGAATGTGCCCAGCTGCCCCAGAGAAGTGCTTCCCTTGCCACCACACTGCCATGGCCTCAAAGGCTTCCAGGGAGCAGCAGGCGTGGCTTGGGAGGCCACGCAACTGCTGGGAGGAGAAAAGCCAGGCCACAGGCTGCTCACTTGCTTTGGGCTGGAAGGACCCTCCTCCACAAGCATATCCAGCAGGGCAGCACTGGTCTTGGTTTTGAAGATGGGAGAGTACGCTCTGACCACAGTGCCCACGACGCTGCTCTCTTCCTCCCGAATCCTCTTCATGAATTTGCAAACCATCTGTAGCAGAAGGGCAAGAAGCCCGGGATGTTGCATGGAGTGCTCCGAGCACAGTGCTGGGCTGAGCAGTGCCAGCAGGCCCAGCCCAGGTGGGGATGGCTGCAGGTACCTGCGCTGTTCTGCGGAAGCGGCCACGGGTGCGTTCCTGCTCTCGTGTGCGCTGCACGGCTGCACCTGGCAAAGAGCGAGCGCAGCCCGAGCTGAGGGGCTGCGGGAGAGGCCGGAGAACACAGCCCAGCCCTGCGCTGCCCAGGCAGGGACAGCCCCGCGCCGCCCCAGGGCATGGAGCACGGCTGTGGGGTGTCTGCCCGGCCCCTATTCCATCCTGTCCATGGGCATGGCCCCAGGGGATGGGATGGGATGGGATGGGATGGGATGGGATGGGATGGCATGGCATGGCATGGCATGGCATGGGATGGCATGGCATGGCATGGCATGGCATGGCATGGCATGGCATGGGGCCAAGCTGGCTGCAGGCACCAGCCCTGTGGCCCAGCTCTGCCACTCACCCTTCTGCAGTGGCTGGAACTGCTCCACCTCTTCAGGCTGCTGTGCTGGGGCAGCTCCAGGGCCTTCTTTCTCCTCCTTCCCCCAGGCCAGCTTGGGCACGCTCGCAGGTCTGTGCTCTGCGTCACTGCCTGGATTCATGGCTACTTGCAGAAGGTGAAAAGGAAAAGGTCCGAGTCAGCAAGTGCTGCAGTCGTGCCTTGAGGGCACCTGCAAGAGTGAAGTCTTGGCAAGGCTACAGGACAGCAAGTCCTGCACTCTGGTCTTGGGGGCTCCAGCCACAAGGACAGGAGACTCCTGTCAAGGACAGTGCAAAGCAAATGCCACGGTCTGCCCTCGAGGGCAGCTGCAGAAGAGATGCCTTGGGAAGGCCAGGGGTCACCAAGTGCTCTGGTCTGGCCACAAGCTCACCTGCAGGAGTAATACCTCGGGAAAGCTCCAGGTCAGCAAGGAACGAGTGGCTGTGCCAATGCTCCTTACAGCACCGCTCTCTCCGTCCTGTCTCGTCGTGTGCACAGAGCACTGTGGAGTGGCCTTGTCACTGCCAACACCTATGCCACAGCATGTCACAAAGGGCCCTTGGATACCCTGTCCCGTTCCATTCCACGGTGACCATGCTGCACCGTGTCACAAAGGGCCCTTGGATACCCTGTCCCGTTCCATTCCACGGTGACCATGCTGCACCGTGTCACAAAGGGCCCTTGCACACTCTGCCACCTGCCCTGGGGCCACCCCCAGCCCCCCAGAGTGGCCCAGGTTGGAAGGAATGCCTTGCCCCAGGTGTGTCAGACAGCCCAACAGGATCTTTAGGAACGGCTCAGACCATCAGCAAACGCTGCCCTGCTCTGCGGGCTCAGAGCAGCAGGAGCCCCCAGGGCTGCCGACGCAGCCGCGGCGGGAAGGGCACGGGGCCCTGCACAGAAGCTGGCACGGCCTCCTCGGGACACGTCCCACATGGTGGCCATCCTAAGCACGGCCGTGTGACACAGACCAGGAACGTGTGGGCCAGGGCAGGAATGCTGCTCTGAGCCTGGGGCCCGGGGAGCGCTGACATCAGCCGCTGAGGCACAGTCCCCGCCGAAGCAGAGTTCCCCCGAGCCCTGGCAGCACCGGTGCCCGTCTGCTGCCCCAGAAACCTGTGCCCCAAAAGGGCTTCTCTGCCAGAGGGCAGCCAAAGCTGGTGTGTGTTGCAGCATTTTTCAGAGAAAGAGGACATGAGTTATGAGATTTGAGCTACTCCAGTCTAGGCCTCAGATTTGGGCCTTGTGAGGCCTTCAAGCCTCTGACGCAGTTAGAAATTCAGAGCTTGTGGCGCAGATAGAAATAGTATTAAGGTGTGACGGGGACCACTGGGCTGTCTGGGTGTGAATTAGTATACGTTTATAGTGTAAGGCTCAAGCCACTTTAAGGAAAAGGTAAACATTGTTAGCCTAGCAATCAGAGTGCCTTTGTTTCTGTAAACTATGTAGAAGCTTATATAAACTACCATCTTATCTCGAATAAACGGAGAACGTTTGATTAACCACATTGGTTCAGATCTGTGTTTGTCTTGTCCAGTTTCCCGTTTTCCTGAGATTCCCTGGCTTTTGGTGTGCACTGGGGGCTGTGCTCCGTCCTACAGGGGCTGTTGGTAGCAGCACCTGGAGCAGCTGGTGGCAACACTTGGTGCGTGTCAGATGTTGTTGCTCCTTCCCGGAATGATTTTTTCATGGAAGGGATTAGCAGCAGCACAGAAACACCAACAGCTACTCAACTTCACAGGACAAAGAGAATCCACCGAAACACTGTCATGTTTCCTTGTGCTTTTGCGTCTTTCTTGCACTCTAAAAGAAAAAGAATTGGCCCAAGCCCTGCTATTCAAATCTCCAGCTGCTGTGTGTCTTCCTGTGGCAGCTCACGTGCAAACACAACTGGCTGCCTGCTCAGCTCGGCACTGGACGGCCACAAACAGGGAGGGCCCTGGTGAACATCTCTTTGGTCTGGTGGGGCAGCGAGGGCACAGGAGACAAAGACTGCTCCTCCCGAGTTCATGGGGCAACAGAGAGATTTTATTTCCCACGCCCCCCCTCACACAGGGCATTTGAAAGACCAGGCCTGGAAGCTCTCATTGGTTTGAGCTCCACGCCCCTTCAGGTTCTGGCCCGTGAGGTGCCTGCAGTTTTGGGAGATATTTGATTGGTCAAGAGCCCTGTCAATCATGGTAACATCTCACCCTTCTTTTCTTTATAAAATTCTGTGTATTGTTCTCTGTCACCCATCTGCAAGGGCCCTTTGCAAACATGGTGACAGAGGACAGCGTGCATCTAATTTACACTGGAGCTGCAGCATTCCCCTCCAGGAACTGTTAGGGGAGAACTCAGGCCACAGGCATAATGCTTCTTGGTTACAAATTGAACTTATCTCTAAAAGCAGAAAGCTATTTAACCCTGAGCCCATTTAGCCCTTAGAGAAAAACCCAATTTTAAAAAACAACCTTTAAGCACTTGATCCCTTGGAGAAAAACCAAACTCCCAGAAAACAGTCTGTAAACAGAAAAACTGTTTGTAAACATGAGAAATAATTTGTAAACAAATCAAGTCCTTCTATGAACTGTCCATGAGGCAGGTGATCATTTGTAATGCTGTCTGTGGTTTCCAGTGTCCATATTTTAGGCAGCTGTATTGTACTGTTGTAGGATTTATTGTAAAACATGAGAACAGACTCAGAGGGGAGGAGGGTGTACCCTCAATCCAACCCCTTTCCCCTTTTTTCTTTGTATAATAAATAATAATAGGAACAGAACATGGATTTTGAATACTAGTAACTTACGCAAAGTTTCATCCAGGCTTACTGATAATATTTTTCTTTACCAGCCAGGTTCAGGGCGAAGAACTTGATTGGGAGATGTTTTGATCAGAGCAAGGAACTTGTTTGGGAGATATTTTCTGTATTTCTATTTTATCTAGTGCAAACCATATATTCTTTTCCCTTTGTTAGAAGTTAGAAATTTTTTTATTGACTTTAATAGCTGACCTTTAACTTTTAAATAGATGACAAGTGGCAGAATTTCAGTGAAAAAACTTTGCAACTGCAATTTGCTTATGATAAATCCATGTTCTATGTGTACCTCAGTGGATATTCTTTGAATCATACCAGTTTATCTTGAAGCAATGCAAGAAGAATTACTAGAATATTAAGAAAAGACATATACACATACTAGGACTTCTTTAAGACAATGATTTACTAAAATATGAATATCGATCTAATATCGATATCCAACTGAGACAGACAAAAACTCTCTAAGAGTTTAAAGTTAGAAAGTGTATGTTTATTGAGACAGCCGGGCAGTACCTGGGATAATTCCCTAATGCACACTGCAAAAATCACAGGTATTACAAAGCTTTTTTATTGACAGAAGTCTTGAATACACAAAATATGAATGCATATTCATATCCCTGTCACTTCCTCTGCTCCGCTTCATATGCTAATTGGCAGAAAGGCTATTAAGCATGTGTAGTTCTGCTCCCTGAAATGAGTCGGGGGTCCATTTTGGGGAGGGGTCTCCAAAATGAAGAAGTAAAATAAGTCTTCCTCGTTCTGACCTTTCTGCCTTTCCCATGCACACGTGACAAATGAATCCTTGCCGTTTTCCTGTGCTTAATGGATTCCTAAAGTATGGGAAGTCTGCAACTGTTTTTGTGTCCCTGAAATCTGTTTGTCACATTCTGTTTCTCATGATAAGCACAGCTACCCAAACATAAAGCTGACAAGCAATGAGTTAATAGATCCTGGATATCTTATCTAAGATCCAGCTACTGTTAACTATGAACAAAGCCTATTTATCTACTTCCACTAAGTCAGCAACATCTAATTTAACTATCATCTTAACTTCCTAAAATTCTTAATTCTTCCAAATTAATGTCTCACCGGGAATGGGGACAGGGAATGGGAATGGGGACAGGGAATGGGGAATGGGAATGGAGACAGGGACTGGGAGTGGTGACAGAGACAGGGAATGGGGACAGGGACCAGGAATGGGGACAGGGAATAGGACTGGGAATGGGGACAGGGACAGGGAATACGGTACAGGGATCGAGAATGGGGTCCGGATTGGGATGGGAGCAGGACGGGAACGGGATGGGGGGACATGGGAACAGGCAGGGGCAAGGGGAGTATGGAAGGGGAGTAAGGAATGGGGCAGCCACTGCAGGGGGACGAGGTGTTGGGATGGGGGCACATGGGGACAGTTCCAGGGCAGGGGGTCCTTGACCAGCTGCCCAGAACCTCCACCAGGGTCTCCCAGTGCAACTGGAGCCGCTCAGCCTGGGGTGCCCAAAGCCCTGAGCAACTCCCAGGTCCCTCCCAGGAACCCTCAAGTCCCTCAAACCCAGCATCCCCCACATCCCCTGCAAGATCCCCCCCATGTCCCCATCCTTGTCTTAGCTCAACATGTTTATCGGCAGTGTCACAGCGGGGCAGCTCTCAGTGTCCCCAGCAGGTCACAGTGTCCAGTGCAGCCCGTGCCAGCGGTCACTGCGCACACGGGGCAGGCTGGGCTGGACAGGGGACGGGGCAGAAACGCTGCCCCGGGACTGGGGTCTCCCCCTGCCTCTGGGGCCCAGCCCCTGCTGGGAGCGCCTTGGGCAGGGCACGGGGCTGCTGCTGGGCCAGGGGGACAGGCCGTGCCCCCTGTCCCCTGCTGCTGGGCCAGGGGGACAGGCCGTGCCCCCTGTCCCCTGCTGCTGGGCCAGGGGGACGGGCCGTGCCCCCTGACAGCTGCCCAGGCCCCTCTGATGCCTGTCCCTCGTCCCTGTGGCTCCTGTCCCCACCACTCCCCACCACCTTCACTCCCCCCTTCAAAGCCCCACTCAACCCCCTCACAGTGAGCTCTGGAAAGAAAGAATGAATGAAGGAAAGGAAGTGTTGTCTGTTCACCCTGGATGGATGTCAGGCACCCACCAAAGCTGCTCTCTCACTCCCCTCCAGAGATGGACAGGAGAGAGAAAACAGAATGAAGGCTTCATGGGTTGAGCTAAGGACTGGGACAGATCACTCAGCAAATGCCATCATGGGCAAAACATTTTCAAAATTGGAGATATTAATGGAATTTATTGCTATCTGGATCAGGGCAGGATAGTGAGAAGTAAAACAAAGCTTTAAAAACACCTTCTGCCCTTCCCTCCCTCCTTCCCAGCTCTACCTCCCCCCCAGTGGGTGCAGGGAGACAGGGAATGGGGGCTCAGGTCAGTTCATCCCCTGTTGTTTCTCCTGCTGCTCGGGGAGAGGAGTCGTTCCCTGCTGTGCCAGGGGTCCCTCCTGGAGACACTTCTCCATGAACTTCTCCACGGTGAGTTCATCCCACGGACAGCAGTTCTCCACAAACTGCTGCAGCGTGGCTCGCTCTTCCATGGGCTCACAGGTCCTGGCAGGGCCCTGCTCCAGCGTGGGCTCCTCTCCAGGGGTTTGCAGGTCCCTGCCAGGTCCCTGCTCCAGCACAGGTTTCTCACGGGGTCGCAGCCTCCGCTCAGGCATCCCCCTGCTCCGGCACGGGCTCCTGCAGGCGCTGCAGGTGCATCTCTGCCCTCCGTGCCCTCCATGGGCTGCAGGGCCCAGCTGCCTCACCAGGGACTGCCCAGGGAATCTCAGGGCAATCAGCTCCAGCAGCTGGAGCAGCTCCTGCCCCTCCTGCGCTGGGGCCGGGCAGGGGTGCCCGAGGCGCGGCGCAGCATCGGCCCCGCTGAGGGCATCGCGGTTCCCCCGCAGCACAGCGGCGCCCCTGTGCCCCTGGAGCTGGCGCTGCTGTGGATGGTGTCGTGCCCTGGCTTCCACAGCATCGTGCGGCTCCTGGGCTGGTTCGAGCTGCCCGACGGCTTCGCGCTGGTCACGGAGCGTCCGCAGCGCTGCCAGGACCTCTGGTACTCGCTGGCCGAGCGGGGGTTCCTGACGGAGCCCGTGGCGCGGGGGCTGTTCCGCCAGGGGCTGGAGGCCGTGCGGCGCTGCTCCAGCCGCGGCGTCCTGCACCGCGACATCAAGGCCCAGAACGTCCTCGTCAACCTGGCCACGGGCGAGGCGAAGCTCATTGACTTCGGGTGCGGCACGATCCTCCAGGACACGTTCTACACACGGATGTCAGGTGAGCCCAGTGCTGGGGCCCAGCCAGGCAGCAGAGGTTCCCCCTTTGCTGGCAGAGGCGGAAGAGGGAGGGGGAAATCTTCTTCAGCCGGCTGCAGCCAAGTTACTTTTCAGCAGGGCAGGGGCTGGCTGTTGCGGAACGGGAGCTGGCTGGGAGGGAGGAAGGGAGGGAGCAGCATCAGCCTGATGAGCTGTGCCTGTGTCCCATACAGCCCACTGGAGTGGATCCTCTTTGGCTGCTACCATGGCCGGCCAGCCACCATCTGGTCCCTGGGTATCCTGCTCTATGACATGGTCTGTGGGCACCTTCCTTTCCACACAAACGAGGACATCGTCCGGAGCCAGCTCTTCTTCCCTCCCCGGGTGTCTCAAGGTGGGGATGTGCCTTCAAGGCTCGGGAGGAAGAATGGGGCTGGGAGGGGGCAGCTGGCACATAAGTGCCCCGCTCCTGCAGCTAATGAGGAGGCTGATCTCCTGGGCTTAGCTGGAGGAGGTGGCATGTGTGCCTCTGTGCTGCTCTCATCTGGAAGGGAGGATCGATGGAAAGCTTTTGGCTGCAGCTCTGAGCATTTCTAGTGTGGCCTGGGCACCGAGGAATGTGGGAGAGCGTGGACAGGAGCCTTGTCCCGCTGAGCGGCCGTGTCTGGTTTGTCACTGCAGAGTGCCAGTGCCTCATCAGGTGGTGTTTATCCATGGACCCCACAGACAGGCCCTCACTGGAAGACCTTTTTGAGCATTCTTGGCTGCAGGAGCCCTGCCTGGCCCAGGAGACAGCAGAGATCCATCGCTCCGCTCAGTAGGATCCAGGAGCCCAGCAAGTACCAGCTGCACGCGTCTTGTGGCACTCCAAGAAAACCCCGGAGCGTTTCCCTGTGGCCGCAGCACGGAGGAGAGAGCGCAGCCGGGGAGATGCTTCTGCTGGTCCCAGCGAGCTTTGGAGGGAGCGGCTCAGTGCTCCCTGTCCTGTTGGAGAAGCGGTGGCAGTGTGGTGAAGGTGCCATAGACTGGAACAGGGGAAACATCCCCCTGCAGCTCAATGGCATCGTGATGTCCCCGCAAGCCGAGGCACAGCTGGCATGTTCTTCTGGAGCACCACGTGCAGCTGGGAACACCGTCCTGGAGCTGGCCGCTGGCGGGGCAAAGCCTTTTGGCTTTGGCTGCAGCCCCTTCCTGGAGGACACACTCTGAGCCCCGATGAAATCAAGATGAGTCCCCAGCCGGCGCAGGGGCAGGGGATGCTTGTGCTTCCAGGTGTGGCGGGGCTCGGCCTGGCCGTGCTCGTGCTTCCAGGCATGGCAGGGCTCGGCCTGGCCGTGCTCGTGCTTCCAGGCGTGGCGGGGCTCGGCCTGGCCGTGCTCGTGCTTCCAGGCATGGCGGGGCTCGGACTGGCCACGCGTTGCAGGTTCCCCGCTCAGCGGCGCTGGGGAATATTAATTTTTCCCCTGGCCGCCAAGCTGGTTTTGTTGGGACAGCGGACGGATGTTGTGGAAGGGGAGCCAGCTCCTGGCCTTGCTGACAGCTTCTGCCAGCCAGCCCGGCACGGGCTGGGGCGGGGGCAGCCAGCCTGACAAAAGCATTTGTCCATGTGGGTGGGGGCAGCAGAGGGGGACGGGTTTGGAAGCTGTGCCCCAGCTGGTCTGCAGGCCCCTGAGGAAGGGGTGCGTTTATGGGCGGGAATGGTGGGGTTTTTCCCCACCCGTGGACAGGTTTAATTCCTGCATGGAGTGGTCAGACCCTCCTCAGGCCCATGAAACACTGACAGGCTTTGGTGCTTTTTCTTGTTTCCAGGTCTTGTTTTGAATTGACTTTCATACAATTGTTCCTTGTTTTCCCAGGAAGATTACACCTGGTGCCCGGACCATCCATGGAGCGTGTCCAGTGCCAGCGCTACCCTAGGGGTCACGGTCTGTGGGGACATCCCCCTCAAGAAGGACGAGGACCTCGTGCGGGATCGGCTCCTCTCCTGGCAGCAGGTCTGCAGAGGTGGGTACCCGGCTCCACAGCTCGGCTGGCAGAAGGGCTTCGGGCAAAGGGCAGCAGGCACACAGGCATCCCGCCCTTGCAGCTGCTGAGGAGGCTGCTGTGCTGTGCTTAAGCGGAGGAGATGGAATGTGGCCTGCCATGCTGCCCTTCTCTAGAAACGGAGAATGGGTCAGGAGGTTTGGGCTCTGAGCACAGCCAGCAGCCTGGCCCGGGCACAGGCCATGGTGGGACAGGGGCACAGGAGCCTTCTGTGACTGACCGTGGCTCTCTGGTTTCTCTCCGCAGGCTGCCAGCTCCTCATGCCATGGAAACGGCCCCGCTCGGCCTGCCAGTCTGGGAGGGCTGGAGGGTGGTGGGTGCTCATTTGCTGTCAAAAATAAATTGTGTTTTTTGTCATTGTCATCATCAGAGCATTTCTTTCATCCTTTTCTAAGCTTTTGGCCTCACTTCCTCCAGGGTAATCTTTTTGTGTCCTTCCTCAGCCACTTGATGGCATTTGGCAGGGGGGGTTAAGCAATGTGAAAAGTTCAACAACAGCTCCAGTTGCCAACTGCAGCAGCCCCTTCAGGAGCCCTGAGCTACCAGCGAGGTCCACATGTGCCTTGCAAAAGGGAGTGGTTTGCAGCGATGGGATTGTTGCCCTACTGCAAAAGCTGGGAGGAGATCAGAAGTGGCAAAATGCCATTTTGGCTCAACCCCCACCCAGGTTCTTTATCTTTTCCCTCTGCTCGGTGATAGGTAGACAGGGTTGGACTCCAGCGAGGTTCAAGTTCTTGGTGCTCCCTGGCATCAAAGGGATCAAGTAAACTCTTGTATGCAGTGACTGCAATAGCGCTACTGAAGGAAATAAGGGAATGTCGTGAGATGGGGAATCCCTCTTGTCTCCTTTGTCTCCCCAGGAGCCCCTTGGAAAGGGAAATGCCCGCACGGGTTTATCTGACTCCTTCCCAGCCAGCCCTTCCCTCACTCCCGGGTCTCATTTGCTCCGCAGGATTCACCAGCTCGCTCAGTTCCGAGGAGCTCTCAGAGGCAAAAACGCTGCCTGGTGTGGGGCTGCCTGATCCCTGTCTCACCGTGATTCCATTTGCCCCCTCCCTGTCCCATCCAAGAGACCGAAGGATCCCCCACAACCCCACGGCCCTGCAGCAGATCCCGGCACCTTCCCTGCTCCGCTCCTTGGGGGCCCTGGGAGGCTGCAGAGCCCTCCCTGTGTGCGGGACAGCTGCTGCAGCACCGCTGCGCCCGCGTGCCAGCAGCGCCCAGGAGCAGCTGCGCCAGTTCCGAGTCTGAAGCGGAATCCTCAGCGCACACAAATGACAGCTGGCACTTCAGGGGCTGGCAGGAGAAGCTAAACCCATCTGCTCGCTGCCTTCCCAGCCATGGCCACGCTGATGCAATTGGAAGAGTTGCCCCTGCCCAGGAAGCTCTCAGGTCGAAGAGAGGAGCAAAAGCCACGGGTTTCTGAGGTGGTAGCTGCCACTGCCTCAGGTTTTCCTTCCAATTCCTAAGGGGTTTTGACTATTTTTACCATTTCAACACTTTCTGTGTAGAATGCATATTTTATGATTGGCTTTTCCCAAATGTTACAATGAATATTATATGTGTAATGTTAGAAAGTTATGCTGTATTAATTCTCTTAAGTAGTGTGTTAAATAGAGTTTTAGGTTACAACATAATGTTAAAATCGAAACCCTGCATGTAGTATTTTTTTACTAGCTCAAGCAAGAGATGAGATAATCAAGAAACTCTTCACACAGAAATGGCCGTGACTTGTGGCCCATAAAGAGTTACAACCTCCTTATCGGAAAAGACAAACATTCTTCCACCTTCTCTCAGTCTTTATGGAACCACCAGGATTAAAGGATAGAAGTTGACAAAATCCAGAAGAGTTCTTAATTTGCAAGGAATTTATGCATCATGTATGAGATATATGAATATGCAACAGGCTATTGCTGTTGCTTTTAAGGTTATTCCTTTGTTCACAAAGCATGCTTTTCATGACCTAGTGTCCGAGAGCATCTGGATGTCCGTAATTCTTTGCTTTTTATTGTCTTGTTCTTGTTCCCAAAGGACAGCAGTCTTGGTAGAAGTGGGAATTTGCCTGTGAGCTGTTGTAATCTGTTTTCTCCCTGGTGCCCAGAGCTGAAGAGGTCCCTGTACGTGTTGTTCTCACAGTTTGGTCATGTGGTCGACATTGTGGCTTTAAAGACCATGAAGATGAGAGGACAGGCATTTGTTATATTTAAAGAACTTGGATCATCCACCAATGCCTTGAGACAGCTATAAGGCTTTCCATTTTATGGGAAACCAATGTAAGTTGTTTTTGTAAGATACTTGCCTTTTCTGTTTAAGAAGTTTGGGTTTTGCTGAATTTACATTTCTGCAGAGATCTGAGAAATCACTGTCAAATTTTAACTCCCTTTAAAATGGGACTGAAAACTCCATTTTAATAGACGCTAGTTCTGATTTTCTCAGATGTCCTCTGTGTAGCTCAAATGAATCTCTCTGTAGGTGTTACCTTGACAGATGTTAAAAAGATGTTAGATAAATGGAGTTCCAATTTCAATGAACTAAAGTTAGTAATTTCCATATTAGGGTTTTTTTTAGACTTCTGTACTTGTGTTCAGAAAAAACTGAGAATTGTTTACTTCATAAGTGTACCTACATTTTATAACAATGTTTTAATATAAAAGGTTTCTGCAAAAAAAAAGGGTGTCAATACACAGTTAATGTGCATGGTGCAAAATGTTCAGTATTATTGACTGCAGAATATACTCTGTTTTTATTTTTTAATTTTTTTCTTTTGAAAAGCATATTCAGTATGCAAAAACAGACTCTGATATCATCTCTAAAATGCGTGGGACTTTTGCTGATAAGGAAAAAAGAAAGGAAAAGAAGAAAGCCAAAACTCTGGAACAGTCAGCAAATGCACCAAATAAAATGTTATCCAGGTAAGCTGCTTCTCTGTTCAGAACAAAAACCAACCAAAAAGCCCCAAATAAACAAACAACTCCCCCCCCCCAAAAAAAAAACACCAAAGAAAACCACAAAAAAACCACACACAAAAGCTATTCTAAATAATTTTTTAGGATTTGATGTTGTCTTTTGTTACTTTTCAATTCCCTAAATTGGGGTCTGTTGACTATCTGGAGCTCTTGAGCATTTACTAGAAGTAGAAGGAGAGGGGGCTGGTTATATAGTCCTTGCTGTTCATTCTTTTTTCTTGTTTGCTATTACCACATAAAAGTAAAGATGTAGGGCAAAGGTACAACAAACCCAAGTAGAAACTAGCCTCTTAAGAAAAGGAAAAAAAAAGGAGAGTGTGCTTATCTTTAGTACTGGCTTCAAGTGCTCAACCACCTTTTCTCTTCAGTGTTTTAATTCCATGTTGCCTAATAAGGACAGAAGAATGGTAAATGAGAACAAGACAATTAATTTACCTCAGATATTAGATGTTCCATGTTAGATTAACAGGAGTTAGGTTGGAATTTATCTCCTCTAAGGGTTGGCGTGCATAAAGTAACAACATTTAGTAGGTTTTGTGCTGGAGTATAGCAGAAAACATCAAGGCACCTGACCAGATCCTGTCAGTTTATATACTGGACATGATATTCTTTACTATGGAATGTCCCTTTGGCCAGTTCTGGTCAGCTCTCCTGGCTCCCTCCTGGCTTCTGGTGCACCTACTCACTAGCAGAGTGTGGGGAACAGGAAAGTCCTTGATACAAACAAGCACTACTTATCAACAACCAAAACATCAGTTTGTTATCAGTGTTGCTCTCATACTAAATTCAAAAACACTGTACTAAGAAGAAAATTAATTCTGTCCCAGGTGAAACCAGGATACCTGTCTAGGCCTTCATTTTCAAAACTATTTCCTCCTTATCTATTAACTGAAATTTTGTAACGTGGAGAAATACTTGACTCAGCCATTAGATTGATCAGGTAGTACTGATGCTATTTCTTTTGATTGCCTGGTTTTGAAGCTATGCAAAATTCACACAATTTGTTCCCTTTGGGAAGTATCTCATAGGCACCAAATGTTCCTTGGATTGCAGCTCACTAAAACCTTTAACATATGTCTTGAATTATAGAGAAACATAGTGATATGTACCTAATTTATTTCTAATGGAATACCTTTGTAAAACTATTTTGTACTTATTTGCTAGGGAGCAACACAGAATTCAGCCAGTGCCCCAGGGACTACACCACAGAATCAGGTAATGTTTTTTATTACTAAAAGCACTAATGTTTTTAATTATTCTCTATGAATAATAATTTGTTACACATGGAAACTTGAGGATATATTTTGTTTTTGTCCTATGAAACATTGTCTAACAGCTACATGACAGTAAACAAACAAAACAAATCCCTTTTCTACTGTATCTGGTTGACAGGAAATGAGAATCTGCAGTTTCTCATTACTATACAGAAAACAGCACTATTACCAAATCATACTGGATTCTTAAATTTGGACTGTGCTTAGTATCAGTTGAAGGATTCTTAATTTTTTTTGCATTGCTAATAAGTTCCCTTTAACTTACTTTATTCTAGCAGCAGATAAAGAAAAGGAAGACAACAGAGGATGCCAAAATAGCTGCCTAAAAGCTTTATCTCAGGAATCTGGGGGTTCTCTGCTCACTTTTTCTTTTTTCTCACAAGTGTCTTATTTTCCAAAGTATTGTGTGGAGATGTAGGAACAACTCCCTACGCTTCATTCATCTTGTCTGCTCAGTGACTTTCTAAAAGATTCCTGTTAGAAGTGAAAGTGGTAAAGAGCCAGGATTTGCAGGAGAGCAAGTACCATGGAAGAATATCTTTGCCTGCCCTGCCCCACATCTTTCTGGAGTACTGCCATTGCATACATAATCAACAGGGGAAAAGGTCTTGCTTCCTGGATTTTCAGGCACAATATATGTATGTCAGTTTGCATCAAAGCACAACACTGAGTATTTGGGTATTTCTTTGAACTTCAGAAGTTTATTTTCTAATGGCGCTACTTGGAATATTTCCATCAGTAAAAGGAGATTGTTCTGCTGAGACTTTTTATTTGGCACTGCTTTGACAATGTTTAAAGTTGGGGTGTCCAGTTTATTTTTATATTTATAATGTACTTGTTGAGTTGAAGATTCCAGTATCAGCAAATAACTACTCAGCCTTGTCTGTGGTGGGTGGCAACAAATTCGTATTAGCAGGCAAATCTGTTACAAGACTAAAGCTTAAATCTAAAGTGGTTTCTAATTAAGACATTTTAATTGAGCTCTGTAATAAAACCATGTGGATTTTGTAGGTTTTGATTGATACTCAGTATTTTGGTTGTACTGCAGGTAAACAGGGCTTGGCTTCCCACTGTGAGTCCTTCATGCATTCCACCACTGCCTTACAGGTGTCTTGAATAGCACTGCAGCCACTACTGTGGCACCTGGGTGCAGAGAGTACTGCAGTGTCAGCTCTTGACTAGTTGAGTGTAAGTGTGACATCTAAGACAGTATGGTATTGTGATTTTTGTGGAAGAACCTCTCCAAATTAATGTATCCATGTAAAAGAATGAAGGGGCTCTGTCTGCATCTTGATAAAAGTGTGGTGAAACCCAGATAAAATGTTATGAGCAAAACTAAAGAAATGCGAGTCTTGGTTCAAATACTCATGCAGACAGATGCAAAGGAACTGGATGCAAATATGTATAGTCTTTTGAGCTTTGATTTCTGTTGTTGCAGGTGCCTGATAACCCACCAAACTGTATCCTTTTCCTTAATAATTTGCCTGAGGAAACAAATGAGATGATGCTGTCCATGTTATTTAATCAGTAAGTTTTGAATAGAAATGATTTCTCCTTTTAATTCTTCTGTAACCTGTACGTGTTTTCTCAGTTGGCAAGCTCACTTTTTAGAAATAAGGGTTTGTTCTGAAGCTATTTCAATTGTTCGTCTTACTGGCGAGGTTACAGATGTCAGTTCTGATTACTTGGTTCAGAAAGCAAATCTAATCTTTTTCATATCTGGCTTTGATTGTGAAATTTATCTGCTATCAATTTGCACTGGATTTAAGCTGGTTACTGTAATACTAAAGTCCATAGGACAGCAGGGAGCAGTTCTAAGACTAGTTTGATTGCTTCTGTGTGTGTACAGCTCTGATTAAACTGCTTCCACATAATATTCCTTAATTGAAGCATAGTTCTAAGGATAGAACATGTAAAACCCTTCACTTTAAATCTTTCATTAGCAATAACAATTGTGCTAGTAGATGCTTCTGATAAGGAGCTACTGGAGAGAGATGTATATTGAGCTAAGAAGTATTTTTTGACTCTCACCTTATTTTAAAGGTTTCCTGGATTCAAAGAAGTACGCTTAGTGCCGGGGCGCCATGACATCGCATTCGTGGAGTTTGAAAACGAGAACCAAGCAGGGGCTGCTCGAGACGCTCTCCAGGGATTCAAGATCCCTCCATCTCATGCCATGAAAATCACCTATGCAAAGAAATAACTATATGCTCCTGTAAAGGAGTTCTGTGGATAGGTGTTTTTTTTTTTAAACATTGCTGCTCTGGTCAGTCAGCATGCTTGCTATTCTCTGCAGAAAAAAAAGACTCAAATAGAATTGCCACAATGACCAGGGGACATGTAAAATTTCCACACATCACCCAGATAACGATTTTTTCTGTTGAAATACTATTTTTTATAAAATAAAATATAATTATGCTTGTTTTGAGCCATGTTTTTTCCTCAAGTCTGTCTCATTATTGATTAACCTTGCAGGGCTTTATTCAGTTTAAGAACTTTTAAAGTGATCCTTATTTCCAGAGCAAAAGTACGATCAGGGATGCTGAATGCCAGCATACTCAGAATAAATAGAGCATTCACCCTCATTCTCAAGGGAAAGTCCTGAGAGGAAACATAAAAGTTTCAGGTTTTTAGCCAGACTTTTCCAAAATACATGTCCGAATGCTTCTGGGTTTCTCAGGTTTGATTTACTTTATTTTTTCTTACTTGTTAAAAACTTAATAGGTTTTGTGTGACGTGAAATACCGTATTGTATCTGATTACTCCCTAATGATTTGTTCCATTGCATCTGTCTGCTATTGTCCCTGTAGGTCCTTTTTGTAGACAGGAACAGGGAAATCTCTGCCACTGAGGGTTTTTGGTCCATGGAAGATTGTGCTTGTCAGTGAGCATTTGTGAAAATTAAGGACTGGAGGATTAAGAAGAATGTAATTTCATTTGCTTCTTACCAGGGTCTGACTTAATTTTCATTCTCAGACTTTGCTTGAAGTATGATTAAGACTATGGACAGCTCTAGGAGGGCTTAGAGTGTTTAAAGAATACAGTTGCTGATTAAAATGTTAATACAGAATGGCTTTGGCAGGGGATTCAGCTTTCTGAGTTGGGTCTGAGGTTTTCCCCCTGCCTCCAGCTCCTCTGGTGGGATGCAATGTTGCCACAGCCCATTCCTGTTAGCCTGGTGTGTTTGTCCAGTTTTCTGCCTCTTCCATAAAAGATGGGGATTGCTGGACCTGGTACACACTCAGCAAGTGCTGCAGCAAAGAAAAGTGACAAAAAGTGTTTATTTGATGACTTTATTTTTGTGTCTCGGATCAATGTGTCCTCTCACAACTGGAATTTTATGGAGAAGCTTACCAGCAAGAAGCTGTGTCCTGATGATGACTGTGTCTGTAAGTAAATTTGCTTTAACTTTGAGGACAAAATAGTTTTAAAAATAATGCTGGGGGTGAAGGCAAAACTACTTTGCTTGTTTAGCTCTGTCATATATTTTTCTTGTCAACTGGCTATGTAGAATGTCACACACAGTTTTACCAAAAAATGGGATTTTTAAAGGGACATTTTTCACTTAAGTGAAAAGTGTAGGGAGGGATTCTAACTTTCAGTGATGAAATTGCTTCTAAAGCTGTAATTTTGGAAATTCTTGAAGACTTTAACTGTTTCAAGATAACCTACTTTTATATGTAGGAATAGTTTTACTACAAGGTCACGTGTATTTATATTTCTGTTAAAGTATGTATGTATTTGAATGCATCTACCTCATTTTTTTGTTGCTTTTTTTTTCCCCAGACACCAATTCCCTTGCCAGAGCAGAAGAGGATTATAATGCTTCAGACTGCAGTTTCATTAATATTAAGAAGGGCCAGTGAATTTCTGTTCATTCAAAACTAATGAATGAAGAAGACTCTGGGGAATTCTGGGCTGCAAGTGTAAGAGTTGATTCTTGGGAATATGAACAAACTAGAAGTAGATTAACACACACACATTGCTGTCAAGAAATGGTTGCAAATGCTGAGCTGTTGTGGGGCTTAAAGCAGCAACTTAGTTTTAAAAGTGAATGTTTAAACTGGTTGAAAAGGCTTGAAGGGCTTTAATATTTTTCTTTTTTTAATCAATAGCTATATGGTAATTATGAACTGAATCTTTACAGAATGGCTCAACAGTTTATTTCTGTGGCTGTTTATGAAAACAGTGGATAAATCTTTTATCACAGGGGCCTTTAAAGTCTTAAATTTAAGGGAAGCAAATATAAAAATTGGCTGTGTTTACAAAAAAAAGAGCCTAGGAGATGTAAACCACATTAAGAACACTACTGGTAACTCCTTTTGGCTAAGTGATAAACCAGCTCAAAGCAGATGAGGATTGTTTTAAGGTATCTCATTATACACCTCCTTGCTTGAAAGTTTATGGAGAACAGTATGAAAACTATATGGGGACAGTTGGTTATTTCCCTAGCAGTTCAGTGTCAGAACAACATGTCTATCAAGAGGCAAGTCAGCCTGTCCCTACAAGGGTGAGGAATTTACAAAGGCCCAGCTGGCTACAGAATTATATATGGATATTCTCAGTTCATTCAGAGAGAAAGGAGAGGTTTTTGCCAGGCTAGGGCCTGGGAAAGAGTTTCAAAGGAATGTAAATAATTTTCTGTCTCTCTTGTTGTTCACATTGTTTATAGATATGTTCTGCCACCGTGTGCCATTCAGCACGCACCAATGGTTGAGATGTTTTTACTTGAAGACCAATGAAATTGGTCTGCAGGATGTTCTCTATAAAAAGAGCGATGTATTTGAAATACAGTTGTTGAGTTCAGTTCTTTCAGCCTTCTGACTTGGAGTTTCTCTGTTCCCGTCCTACCTCAACAGCGACAATTATACTTGGTTATGTAATACTAATATGCTGTAAAATTAAATCATTATTTTGGCAGTTGATTGTAGCATATCACAGGTGCTTAGGAATCCAATCTTTGGGCCTTTATAGAGGCAAATAACCTCAATAAAATTCCTAGCATAACCTCTGATATAGCAGACATTGTAAATGTTGCAATGACCTTTAAGGTCATGCAAGTTTTGCCCAAAGCTTTGTTTTTTAGATATGAGAGCCTGGATACTGTGCTGTAAAAGTTGGTGTACTAGTGCACCTTTGTTGCTATAGGACACGAGAAAGCACAACGCGAGCCACTTGCCACTTTGCAAGGTAAAAGAGAAAGTTTATTTTCTGACTCCAACTTTCATACTTTTCCAAAGGTGACAGTGGATTGGAGAGTGAATGGGCTACCTCTCCAAAGACATTGGACAAACTACTAGTACATCAAGTTTCTCCACTCCCAGGAAGGAATTCAAAACAATATGTTATTTATAGAAACTGTGTGGGAAAGTTTTCCAATAGAATGTAAACTCAGAAGGCTTTAGAAAAACTTAAGAATCAGGGCGACACACTTTCCTTTAGTTGTATCTGTAGATAGACACTGTCATACAGAACTTGTGATTACTGTAAGACCATGCTTGCTTTCTCATTACAAAGCTAATAGTGTGTCAGAAAATTGAGTCACAAGGCTTTTGGAAACACATGATTCTGTGAATAAGTAGGCTGCATTTCTGAAAGAATGGTTGTCCCTGCACAATAGTGCATTTCACTCCAAAAAATAATATTTTTCCTGAATATCTGAAATACTTCACAGATGAGTGGAAGAGGAAGGTCCTTTCTCAGAGGCCAGCATGGTTTGGCTTACAACTAACAACTTTCTGTGCTTGAAACCACATTGAATGTTAGATTTAAAGTACTTGCCTTCATCCATCCTCAATATTTTTAGTTATATGCTGTTTTCCAGCATATGACAAAATACAGTTAGCTTTTCCATCTTGAGATTATATCTGGAGTCTTCCATCCTAGGTCCAGATAATTAGATGGGTTTCATTAACACAGAGGAAATAAGTGAAAGGAAGACTTCTGTGTCATGTTAATCCTTTTGTGTCCTTTCTCAGCCACAGATAGCACTTGGCAGGGGGGTTAAAGCAATGTGAAAAATACAGCACCAGCTCCAGTTGCAGGCCCATGGACATGAATGAACGCCAGCCCTTTCCCATGGGAAACAACACTCACCCCCCAGTTTCCTGATGTCAGTTTGTAAGAGGCATTTGGCACTGCCAGGGCAGCTGGAGTTGTAGGTGGTGGCAGGTTGGGTCTGGGAGACATCCTGCACCATTTGGAATTTGAGGAGTGCACTTGGCTCCTTGACTCCTCATTGTGTCACCACACGCAGGAGCCCAGAGCTCCTGCAGAAACCATCACAGCGCTCAGTGGGAGCAGACTTGTGTCCAGTCCTCACACAGAGCTGTGGTGTCCAGCATCCACCTCATTGGAACGAGGAACTGTTCCAGCCTTTTAGAAGGACCGAAAGAGGTTTGGCCTTCAGATGAGCTCCTTCCCAGCTCCTGATTTGCTGCCCTGGGTAAGCTGCTGCTTGTGGCAACACTTGATTTACAGCTGACAGCCCTCTCTGCTGGCCAGCAGCCATTGCAGGAGCTTCTGCTAGTGACATTGAATCTTTCAGATAATCCTAAGGAAAGCTCAGGGCAAAACCTGTCAAAAGAACATTGCCAGGGTGATGCTTTTAACATTAAATCTTTCCTCCGTGCTCCATGCCATGCACGGTAAATATTTGAGGAAGCAAATCTGCTGCTCTAGAAATTCTTCAAAACAGTAATTAAACCACAAGAGAACACAATTTTTGGATGTGACAGGATTCTCATTTTAATTCATTGTGCAGAAAACTTCAGGAGCACTGCTTGTGAGCTGGGTGTCTAACCTAAGTGACCTTGCCACCAAGAATTTAGAAAAGTGGGGAGAAATGGAATCACTACCACAAGGATCTGCATTGTGATTCTCCCACAGGCCTGAGGACATGACCCACTTCCACTGGGCCGTGGCTTTTTACCCTACATCCAAACTTCATGTTTCAGATTGTGGTGGTGAATCCCCCTGGCCTTGTCAGGCCACACAGTGATTTGAGAAAGGCTTGTCAGGCCTCGGCCTTGCTGAACAGCCCCTGGACCCAGCTCCTGTGGAGCTTTTCAGAAACATTGAGTGCTCCAGGAACCTGTGCTGTCTAACGAGATCCTGGGGTGTTCTGTGAACAGCCTTGGAAACCACTTTTCTGGCCTCAGTGGCACGACATCCTTCTTCTCCCACTTTCAAAGGCAGGCTGCAGACCCAAAGTGCAGCCATGGTGAAGCATTTTATTTTATAATCAGCGCTCCAAAAGGAGGCCCTTGGAGCTTTCCTGGAGCACAGCAGCTGCCAGCAGCAGCCTCCCTCTGCGTGGGGCCTCTCAGAGCCAGCGAGCTCGCAGGTTTGCTGCTCTGGCAGGATCACCCATCAACAATGGATCCTGGGCCAACAGCCCCACTCCTGGAGGCTCCAGCTGACCTGGAGTTAAGCTTGAGTGCTCTTAAGCTTTTAGGTGGTATTCCTTTGGATCCTTGCTCTTTCTGTCCCCTTCTCAAATGCACACAAACACACACACACACACACACACACACACACACACGTATAGTTCTCAGTACATTTCTTGTTTGATTGACTGTATTTTGTTACTTTTTTTCCTTGTTGTGCCTTAATCGACTGGTAAGTAGTAGTGTGAGTGCTGCCATTGAATTTTGCTGAGCTGTTGCTCAATATTCAATCTGGCTTTTACTGAACCTTGCCAAAGAACTTATAAGCAATCTCGGACACTTGTTTGTAACAAGCCTTGGGAGCATGAGGTGCAGGGTTGACACTGGAAAGCAGGAGAGTCATTCCAAAGTGACGAGTGTAACTGTTCATTTTATTACTCTTCTATTTATTTCACTCTAATAAGACAAGCCAAGCTTTTATTGGAGGTAGAATGTGGGTGGGATGTACTACAGTATTATCCTATAACTGTGGTCTGAATGGCACCCAGGCTGGAGTGTAAAAAGATTTGAGGAATCCTTGTCACTTGTTATTGGACTCACAGTCCAATCATCCTTCTGCAAACAGGTTGCAAACAACACAGTTGGACTGCTGTCCTGGGTAAATATACATACAGATGATTTTTCCAAAGCAGTGCATCTTTTCTCATGTCCTCTTCATACCTATGAAATTGTGATTAAAAACACCCGTGAGCCAGATCTGTGTCACGTTGCAAAGGAGCAAAGCTTTGGGATTTGGGCACACTCCTCTTGATTTCTTTGCTCAGGCCTTTTGTGAGCACAGAATACATCTACATGGAAAACTTTTGACTATACAGGATCTTGTGGGTCCATTGTCCCCCAGACATGTCAATGGGTGGCTGAGTTGTAATGTCAAATGACAAAGAGCAGCACAAATGACACAAAGAAAACGTGTCAAAAGAGGAAGAGGAGAGGCCCAGTGATGAAAGGATGTGGTGAGACACTGGCACATCGAGTGAGCTGCACTCCCATAACCTCTAGGCTAGATAGGTCTGGGTCTCACATTCTCCGCTTGGCTTATTTGAAGTTTATTTATTTATTTACCTTTTTTAAAATCATAAGAATAAAATATATACACTTAAAAATATCAAAATTTCAAGATACAATCCAAATATATTTAATCAAAACTACATCTAAATATCAGAACATATGTATATCTATATCTATGAAGACTAATGCATAAATCCTATTCTTCAACTACTCTTCAGGCAGGCGGCAGCTTCTTCCTGAGCTTGGAGGGATGAGAGCTCTTCTGGATGGGAAGCAAGGACTTTGCGGGTAAGAGACAATCAGAAGTGTCCAGAGAAAACCTCTTGGTAAGAGGATAGCCAGTCAGGTCTGCAAAGTGAAGACACAAAGTTTTAACAGATGCCACAATGCAAACCTAAAGCAGCTTGAGCTCTAGATTTCATGGGACACATTTCCTGCCAACTTCTAAACAGCTGCACAGGGAAACGTGTTCCTGCCGGCAGACACTTGAGGCAGGCCAGGGGAAACCCTGACCCACTTGCACAGGGCTGCCACAGGAACAGCCTGGCCTCTGGGCTGCCCTGGGACAGCAGGAGCCCAGAGCCCTGTGCTTCCCAGGAATGGCTCAGCTGCACATGCACCCTCCTGCTCCTCTCCCTGCCCCACGGCTGAGCAGCCCTACAGCTCCAGGGGCTCTGGCAGAGCACAGCTCATCGCAGGGGCACATGCAGGGCACAGCTGTTCCCTGGCAATGTGCACAGGCTCTCTGGGCTGCCACAGGACCCTTTCTCCCTCCAGAGAGCGGCCCAGCTCCCCCCTCACCTCTGTGTGAGGCTGATCCATGCTCAGCCTTTACCTTGTCTTCAGTCTGGAGTTTCTTCAGGCCCCCCATGTCATGACTAGGAAGGGCGATGGAGAGAGCGGGGGCCGATGCACACCCTTCCTTAGTGTTTTGTCATTTTTGGCACAGCTAAGAAGTCAAATCCGGAGGTGTCCAACTCAGCATGCTGTCATCTTCCTGGAGAACATCCTGCCTTCACCAGTACAAAAGGTTGGAGAGGTTCTCCCGCATGTGTGGAGGCTTGCTGGCTGCACATTTCTTCAGCTTGTTGCCCATCGCCTTGTAGAGGGCCAGGGCAAGCTTGGTGGCCACAGTGCGGATGTTGGCACTGCGGACAGGCAGCGCTTTGTTGTCCAGGAAGGACCAGAGCACGGGCAGGGCATAGCGCTGGACGACTTCAGGGCTCCTGGCATAAACCCACTCCACGAGCTCTGCCGGGAGAGAGACACAGCTTCTTACCCACCAAGCTCCATGCAAACAAGGATCTACCTCTGCTTTTGCTTCTTGGAAGCCTCTCTGGCTAAGATCAGTGAAATAGC